AATTTTATTATCATTTAATTTATTTATTTATATCAAATGGCAGGCGTCTTGATGGTTATCATTAACCCTTTAGTTGACTTCAGGCTTCACAGAGGGGAAGCAACATCAAATTGGAAAAAATTCGAGAGGGGGGGGGGACAGAAGAGTGTTTCAAAGATGTAAGAGACAAAAACAAAGGAAGAACAAATGTGAGGTGAGTACTGTGGAAATAGTCGAATATGCCATAGAGTGAGGTGATGGTAGTTTGAAGTGAGAAGTCAACTGACAATCAATAGACTTTTTTGCTGTATGAATATACGCTGCCCAGGGTGCACCACGTGGAGGCAAGTCTATCGCACACTCCATTATTATCATTAAATTGTCTATATTTATGTTCTAACATGGGTATTGACAATAAATCCATATTTTCTATTAAATAACTATTAATGCCAACATTGATTACTTAGTTAGCGTCGAAATTGTTACACTTTATGAAACAATGATAGATATAACCATGAAAAATTATAACTATTTCTAGATCTAAGTCTGATTTCAGTTAAGGAATTTTGGTAATAAATGGTCTATAGTGTCTATACTCCGGAAGTATGATCGACACCGCAAAAGAAAATAAAATCATACAAAACAAATGCGTTGTGAGCAAGGAGTAACACGTTACTTCCCATGCAGCAAACCGTTTATGGGGCAAAACCTGCATTGCACGCGTGGTTGGGAAAGTTTGCAGCTTGACCAATCATGCGCGTCTGACGAAGTGACCAATCCAAACGATGACACTTGGCCAATCAGTCGTCAACTGGCCAGGTCTGGCTTTCACACATTTTAAGACTTAATGTGATGCACTTATAACCACACAAGAATCAAAACCATATTTGTATGCGATTTCATGATCTTATATGGATCTTATTGTCACAAAATCTCTGATTTTGCCAGCATGACAACAAACTGGGATTATATTTTGCTCAATATCTTAATCTTGACACAAATTCAACGATTCCAGACAAGTGAAACTGAAGAGCAACTTTTGGGTGGACTTAATTTGTGTTATTTTTATTTTTTTCCTTCTAGAACCAGAACCTGCAAGTCTATTTATCGACGGTCAAGGATGGTTCAACTTCTTTCCAAAATTCGAAAATCTGAATCATGGCTCAGGAATGTCAATTCTTTTCAAAACGAAGGAACCGAACTCCTTACTTTTATATGCTGGTACTAAATATTTAAAATCAGGGGTTTAATCAGCTTTATTTATTGAATAGTAGAAATTCCAAAGCTACATGCGTTTATAATAATCTTAATGTCATATATTTTATTGAAAGAAATATTATGTATTTTCCCCTTAGTTAATGCAGCCTGAAAGAGAATACATATAGTCGAATTTTTCATTTGTTCGTTTAAAATGGACAACTTTTGCTTATATCATGGTGTAATGCATTTTTAGAACCCTCAGATGTGGATAACCACGCACTTTTGATAATCTTATCGAATGGTTCGATAGAATTTCAACTGCGATCACCAAATTCACCAAATTTGGTTACACTTCAAAAACGCCATACCTGTGAATCTCCTTACGGTGCGTGTTCCGACAACACCTGGCACCACTTATCATTCTCTTACAACAGAATTCGAGTAATTTCTTTTGATAATGCGCTTTAACATGGTTGTAATTTCTATAAAGATGAAACTCCACTTCTTTTCTCAAATTCCATATCAATTGATGGATATGCATTCAAAATAATCCGTCTTTCGATTGGCGTTGTGATAATATACAATTTTTTTGACTGTATCAAGTCACTTTTTTTGAAATTGCAGATGTTAACCGAAGTGGATGGTGACCGCCAAGTACTGGAAGTTCCAATAATACAGCTTTCCTTCCGTTTCAAAGGATTTTATTTTGGTAATCTGTCATCTCACTTACAGCACCTATTACAACTTGAAAATGTGCCCATATATACAGGATATTTTAAACACGTATGTTAGCAGTTATTTATATCTTGTACAAATTCACTTACGTTTATCAAAATTGCAATCATGCAAATGATGTTAAGTCTAAATTTGACTGAAATTAAAGCGAATTTAAAACCTAAGGAAAATAATGAAATATCTTTCCTTTAGTTAGTTGGTGACCACTTTTCAGTTGAAAGATTGTTGATTTTCTAAATGAAAGCTAAGAAATCGGTATCAGTGCATCTTAATACTATCGACTTTTGCAAAAGAAATTTACCATTTGGCATTTGGGCCCACCCTAAAAATCACTTTAATGGGTATTCATTGTGTTTCCTATAGATATTCTATCAGAACGATAAGGACTTTACAGATCTCATCAATTTGGTGGGAATAAACAACTCTAGCAAACGATCGGAGGTTGGGAGAGAGATTGGAGACATAAAGTACAAGTCAATATCATTCCAGACATTTTCCGTAAAGACAAAGCGCGACATGCATCCCGGTAGGAATTCGGGAACAGTGGTCACGTTTAAGCGACCTGGTGGTTACCTACGATCCCAGAGAGGTTGGCAAACTGTCTCGACTGGAAAAATAAGCTTTCAAGTTCGCACTTTAAAACACAACAGCCTAATTCTCTTTTCATCATCCGGGTGGCCAAGAGGTGAGAAAAAGTTTGCAATGCCTCGCGATGGTCCGATCCAACCCGTCAATCCTGTGGATCGATTAACTGGAAATGATATCTTTGGCGCGGAAGTACGTGAGGGCTACTTAGTCATGCTTCTCAATACCGGTTCTGGAATAAATGAATTTTCCACTGGAAGCATTTGGCGAGGGGATCAGCATAAGAGCAGATGGTTTATTGCAGACGGTGTTAAGCATTCGGTGGAAATTCAACTCAGCAATGGATCTCTATCCGTTACATTAGATGGAAACACGCTTAATATGAGACCGAAAGCAAAACCAAAGTAAGCATATTGAATGAAGTTTTTTGTGTTATGAAAGCAAAAGTTACATTTTTTGTGGAGGTTTCTGAGAGTCGATTGATAGCATCTTGGATTTTGAATTGAACTATTTATGACAGGCATTTCACTTCACTCTTGTCTTTCTTACTTTTTACCAAATTCTCAAATCTGATTTTAGTTTTCTAAAGGAACCTAATTTCAAAAAGTGTAAAATTAAAATATTTTTAATGGCATTTCAAAAGAAGAAACTTTTCGGTGGCTTACTTGAAACTTTTGAAAATTTCTTATGTGTAATTAACTTTAGATAAAGTTGCTTCATTTCCAAATTTTGAGAGGATATTTTGAAATTTGAGTAACAAACTTGCCCGTCTATTGCGTTATTGTCTATTATTCAAACAAATCAGTCATTTTACAAGTCAACCAACTGTAGATATTCAGCTGGGAGTTTTAATTTTGACTCTCAATTGCCGGTATTTCAGCACCATTTAACGCACAATTTCCTTGTGCACGATGCTCACTGTGACGGAAGATTTCTTAAAATTTAAAAAAAAATAAATTCAGCTCTTTGAATGCAATAATTACACTCTTTACAAATCCTTAATTCCTTTATTTTAGATTTGGTTAATTCCATTCTGAATCAAAGTATGTCGAAAGTCGGTCTTTTTGCTTTAATAATTAATGGTCCATTTTCGTAAAAACTAAGAGGAATAAATTTAAAGTAATATTTTTGCGACTTTAAGTGCATCCCATAAATCACTGCTCAAATTTTTGAGAAGGAAGTTCTCAAGAGAATTGAATATATTGGCTAAAATTAAGGAATGGCAAAGAAAAAAGGGTATTGATATTAACAATGTCAACAGACACCGGAATGTCTATATCATTTTTTGATTGGGCATTTCCTGAATCCCCCTTGTTTGTTTTAAGTAAATGGGAGTATATTTTGGTGGGCCAAATCACATGAGGCCGTGAATAAATTTAGTTAATCTTGAGACTTGACTCTACATAATTTAATCAGTAGTAGAATGAAGCCACCATTGGGTTCCAGTCGGTCTATTTCCAATTATGTGCTCTGGGACAATTATAATTTAATTAATTGATACCTTTAATAAATAAATAAATATTTGTTTATTTTAAATGGCAGGCTTTATGATACTTATCATTAACCCTTTAGCAGACTTCAGACTTCACAGAGGGGAGGAGCATCAAGGTGAGAAAAAGTGGAGAAGGGGGAACAGAAGAGCGATTTGAAGATGTAAAAGAGACAGATAGACACAAAGGTAGAGAAAAGGTAAGATGAGTATAGTGAAGTGGTCAAAAATTACAAACAGTGGGGTCATGGTAGTTTGAAGTCAGAAGTCTACTGCCAGTTTCTAGACTTTTTTGCAGTACGAGAATACGTTACCCAGGATGCACCACGTGGAGGTAAGTCTATCGCATAGCTCACCTTTAATAAATATATGTCTTGACAAACGTTTATATCTTTGGAGGAAATTTGACGACCACTATCCTTCCTCTCTAGTTCCTTGTCCTAAAGTGATTGGAAACAGATCTTACAGATGCTGCAATGTCTAATTGGACTATGCATATGATTCTATTCCATCACAACAGAAGAAACAGTATTACCAGTTACCACAATCATATACAATTTATTGGCAGTGCCTGGTATTCTGTTTACTTTAGGTATACTGTGCTCAATTTGAATGGCAATCTTTACATTGGTGGGTTGCCAGAAGAATTAAGGGATGAAACACCACCGCAGGCCTGGTCCGCAAGACTTCGAGAGGATTTTGTCGGAGAGCTTGGCTCCCTTTCAATCGATGGAGAAATTCTGGATCTCGTCCTAGAATCAAAAGCCCGTTGGGCTAAGGGATATGTTCAGCCACAGGATCGCGATACAAGTGACTTCGGTGATATTTGCTCGAAAACGGAAAATCCTTGTGGTTCGGGCCAGTGTATTCAAGATTCCTGGACCGAGCCCCTATGCGATTGTATTCATACGAATTATACCGGACCTCGATGTAGTGAAAGTAAGTACAGTTTAATTCCTCTTTTTTGTTAATATTTATCTAAATAATAGGGAACCTTTCCTTACCAAATTGTCTTTAATTGCCGATTCACTTTGATGAATCATTCTCATGATTTTCCGCAATAATAAACGCTTACTTTTCCCATTATTTACTGGCTTACCTTCCTTCAGAAAACTGTGATCAGACAAATCATAGTAGCCTACCAACTGGATAGAGACTTGAAATATCGACAAAACGCATCAGCGAATTTGTAGGAATTATATCCCATTTCAGGGAGAAAATAAATGCGGATATTTATATGCTTATAAATTTAAAATGTACATTTGGGCCGAAATTCCCAAATTGCCATAAATGCTGTTCATTGAAGATTTTATTCCCATAATTAAAGTTTTAAGCTTCATTGATATGCTGTACTTATATTGTTTAAACTGATCAGTTAATTATAGCTTTTGTCTTAGCAATTTAGCCTTTAATTACTACAATCATTGCCATTACTTCATTGCCAGAATTTCAGGTTTTTTTCTAATGTGCAAATGATTTACCCTTTTTGCTAAGAGATTGCTTAAAAGTCAACTAAACAGTTTGTTTTCATAAGATAATAGAAAATGTTATTGCAAGAGAAATTCGATGGGCAGAACTAAAATATAACCACTTCGAGAAATAGCTTTTTATTCGCATAAAGCATAGTACTATCTTTGGAACTATAATTTTTTTGCTGTCATCTTAACCAATAGCTTTCTACTCTAGATATATTTTTCCTAAAGGAAATATTTAGAAGTAATTTACCACTCTACACATTATTTGCCTTTCTTAACTACTATGCTTCCAGGTTAGCTAATTATCAGCGTAGGTGTGAGTTCATAAGTACTGCCACATTCTTTTCCATAGTAATTTTTGAGAGTTTCTGCTATGGAAAAATTGAGCATACAGGATTTAAGTGCTGTAATATTTGAAATAGAAAATTGGTTTGAAATTCATAGAGTAATTTTTAATTTCACTCGGAAATCGCATAAAACTGTATGCGATTATAATTTTATTGAAAGAAAATGACTCACTTGTTGTTGAATAGAATGAAAATATACTCATATGTATCACTTTGAATGCAAAAATTTTATCGGCTGATTAAAAACAACCTTTTTTTCTAACTTTAACTCGAATGTTTACTTGAAGTAGTGAATTTATTCTATATTTCCTTAAAGACTCTAATTCGCTGCTCTGAAGTGCCCTCAAGGGACAAATATCTGAATATTTAATAATTCGAAAACGATTACCCAATTATTTGTTAAAATTAAATCTCAATTTTTTGCATTAAATTGGGATCTTTATAGTGAAATGCGAATAGTTTAAGTATGTAAACTTGACTAATATCACATTATACTGTATGGTGTCAGCATATATACTCCTCAACCCACACCACAATGCAAAAACCAGTATAAATTCCTGAATTCAAAAGAATAATTGAGCCATAGCAATTCGTTTAAGCAAACGATTGATTGCACTATTGTTTCATTTTAATTCGCCTTCAATTACTTCCCTTGTTTTACGTCTAGCCACCGCTTGTTCATCGCTCAAAGTCTAGACTCATTGTAACCAAACTGGAATTTATAATAATTATAATAATGGTTTGTAGAAATAAACAGAAGGTGTAAAGTTATTCTGTAGTTTTTTCGCAGCTTAAAACTTAGAGGACGTTGTTGATGACCCACTGTATGCTCCATTTGTGTCACCTATTGACCTCTATATTTTTTTCAAGCTTAACTTGTATCTTTAAGTGAAGGTGTACATTTCTTAGGATTCATTTCCCACCCCCCCCCCGTTCTTATTGCATATGACAGTCTTGCTTTTTAAATTTACCAAAGAAAGTTTACATCAAATGGCAGGCGTCTTGATGGTTATCATTAACCCTTTAGTTGACTTCAGGCTTCACAGAGGGGAAGGAACATCAAACTGAAAAAAGTCGAGAGGGGGGGGGGGGGAACAGAAGAGTGTTTCAAAGATGTAAGATACAAACACAAAGGTGAGGTGAGTACTGTGGAAATAGTCCAATATGACAGAGTGAGGTGATGGCAGCTTGAAGTGAGAAGTCAACTACCAGTTAATAGACTTTTTACCGTATGAGTATACGTTGCCCAGGGTGCACCACGTGGAGGTAAGTCTATCGCACACCCCGATTACTTAAGAAAGTAGGAATCCAGATGCGTAAAATATATGGGTAGAGTGGCCACATGTACAATTTGTTTTTTTGCCCTATATTAAGCGAAAATTAAATTCACGAAGTCAGTCAGTTATTTCATGTTAGGACGCAGGTATATTGGGAGTGTTTATTAGTAATTTCGCTAATAAGTTATTAAATGTGGGAAAAATGTGTCTTTGAACAACACGATCCATAAATTTCGTTTACATGCCCGGCATGACGATGCTTCCAAACCTGCGTAACCCTGCCCTATCCCACGATTTCGCATGAACTTCGGATGATAAAATGTCCACCAATTCGTAAATATTAAATAAATTGTGCTGTTCATTGCCCTATTTATTCCCTATTTATTCAGCCAAAGATGAACAATGCGATTTTGGAATTTGCCTTGTTAACGCAGAATCCATTTTGCGTTCTTCTTTCTTCCTTTCTTTTGTTCAGTACAAAAAACAAGCCAATTTCTACGTTTTTTCCCAGTAATTTAGAAAAATTTGTTGAGAGACAAGCTAAATTTGTACAAATTGATATTGAAAGAAAGGTATTTAATTAAAATTCATTGCTTTTAATTCATTTAGTGCATTTTTTTAGGGAGACCTCCGAATGGACGTCATAAAGCAGCATTATTTACCATAATTTTTTTGTATATAATTAATCGAAAAAAGATCTATATTGTTAGCAATAGCATAGGATTTCAAAATCACTATGGCAATATAATAGAGTGTGTCCAATGGCCAGAATTGAGACTTAAATCAAAGTTCGAATTTCTGGCAAGATATTTGCTTTTTAATTTGTATTTTCATTGCAATAACCCAGTTTAAATGGCGAAATATTTGTACTAACCCTTTATCATAACATCATCAAGCTCTGATAATAGTACAAATATGAACTGTGATCAATTCCCTTTAAATACGAATTCAATATCGTCATTGATCCTTTTAGTTATGCCCCTCTAATTGGATTGTAGTTGCTTTAACAATCGGAGCTTTGAGCCATAAAAATGTATTAATATTTTCTCACAGCCGATTTGGCAATTAGACATACATTTTATTTGCCGCAAATATAACCCATGGGGTTGTAGAAAAAGAGGGGGGGGGGGGGGGGTGTGCTGGAATCCCTTAACCTTTAAATTCTGCCTTAAATCCAGAGAAGTGGGAATGAAAGCACTTAAGCAAAATGGTGACGCTTAAATGTAGAGCATTATTTATTTTTAAAAAACACTCCTTAACTAAACGGGATTCACTTAAACAAAGATGCTGCTAAATGGAAGAATTCGAAATGATACAAATGGGTCATTGTATCAATCGAATACCTGTGATGTTAATTGTTTCAATTTTAGTAAGAATACATTGGAAGGATAAGACAATCAGATTTGCAGATATAAAACTCAATTAAAGCATAACAATTTTGAGCTTGTTTTCAATAATTTGCATTAAGTATGACAGCAGTTTGTTAATACCTGGATTGATTATCAACAATCTCTCTGTAACATTTAGCAGTTAACTTTGTTGTAAGAATGAGGACTTGCGGGGAAAAGATAAATAAGCCATATTCATTCAAAATTAACAGCAAAAACTGAAATCACATATAACCTTCCAGCATCTGACAATGAGTAAATGCGTAAATACAGTGAGACAATCGTGTGCCAAAGTTCGACAATTGAATTGAGTTGAGCAAGGGTTGAGGCTGTTATCCGCAATTTAGTTGCGTGGTTTAACAGTACAAAAAAAATAAATTTTCATTTTTTTGTAAAAATTAATCAAAATCTTCAACTTCAAAATCCAATAAATGTGTAAGTAATCATATGTTTATTTTTTTATATCAAATGACAGGCTTTATGATAGTTATCATTAGCCTATCAGTTGACTTCAGGCATCACAGAGGGAGAGGAACATCAAATCGGAAAAAGTCGAGAGGGGAGGGTGAACAGAAGAGTGTTTCAAAGATGTAAAAGAGACAGACGCAAAGGTAGAAAAAAGGTGAGGTGAGCACTGTGAAGAAGTCGACAATGACATACAGTAGGTTCATGATGGCTTGAACTCATAAGTCAACTGCTGGTTTATAGAATTTTTTGCTGTATGAGTATACGTTGCCCAGGGTGAGTCTATCGCACACCCCAAGTAATAATATGTAGAAATATCATATATTGCTGGATGAGATGATTGGTTATGGAGAAAAATTACTTAATTTAATTTTTTAGAAAGTTTCATTACTTTCAGATCCGAATTCAGTATCTATACACATAATTAAGTGGTTACTTCAGCACCACTTACTTAGAACGTTAAATTGTTGGGCCTGGTGATTAATCGATAGAAAATTTCCTACCGTTTCCGCTTCCGCCAACGAGTTTCTACTCAAATATAAAACGGAGATACGACTTACCATGACTTGGCTTTAGCCTCACACTGGTAGATGTTTATCAGGAGGGTGATAAAGAGTGGTCATTCACTTTTTTTTGCAAAAGCTATAATGATGCAATGAAAACAGTGAAGCCAAAATTATATGACCTTGGAACGCAAGTATAAGCCTTCTGGCAATGAAAGTGACATAAGTTGTCTCATTTGTTTGTTGGACATATTTCAATATTTTCAAATTGGCCCAGGCTGATAAATTGTCGTTGCTGGGTAGGTGGAAGGCCACTTTTTGTTTCAATGAGAAAATGAATCGTTGCGAAAAAAATTGAATTGTTTGTTACTATTATAATTGTTATAAACGAAAAACTATACTTCAAGACGCTAATTCAAGATTAGCATTTATAGGGTATGATGTATGAAAATATTGTACCTTTTTAGAGCATTTTCAACCAATTGTTCGCCCACTCCACTTTTATTTTTGTTTATCAAAGTTCTTGGATCTTCTTGACTGTAAGAAGAGATATATGCAGGGATCAAACACTCAGTTAGATGGCTGCTTATTGGCTTATGAAAGTAAAGGACTGAATTACTTTTTTAAATGTTGGACCAATCAGAGTCAACTGAATTCGACAAAGGTATACTTATTAAGTAATATTGATGGATTCAGAAATCAGAGGAAACATGATTATCACGTTGAATTCTACTCCAATTCAGAAACCATTGCCCCCTTTTTTACATTTCCTTATCATATATATGATTACACTTAATTATGCCTTTTTCTTTAGTCGGGAGTAAAAATAAGGTTTCGTTAACAACATTTGAATTTCGCCATCTTTCTACTGAATGTCTGCTGATATGATTTCTTTTTTTTTCTCTTAAGAAGTAACTATGCTCGTTTTCAATGGATTTCAAGGAATTGGGATTCGCTTATCTCACCTACCCAAGCAATCTGAAGCTGAGAGTTTAGCCCTTCGACTTCAAACCTATCAGAAGAATGCTCTCCTCTTTGAGAGCAGTAGTACATCATCCACAGCTCCTGATCGATTCGGTGTTGAGATTGTTGATAGACAACTTGTCATATTCTATAACCTCGGTTTTGAAACGAAGGTGAGTTATAAACAGCGTGTTTAGTTAACTATTTCCTAGGCAGTTAATGAAGAAAACTTTATGGTTAATTTATTTTGAACGCAAATTTACCTCAATCCTTTTTGAATATCAGGAGTTCAAATTCTCAATTTCTATTGTTAGAATGGGATTTTATGATATTCCAAAAAAATTATGATTCAAAGGCTTCTAAAATTAACTCTTTGTGTGTGGGCTGAGCTATAAGATGTTACTGCACCAGCGGCTTTCCTGTTTCGCTACAAAAGATTGAAACCTCCGAAAGATTCTCTCACTGTTAACCTGGCTTCTATGCCACCCGAGTTATAAAAAAGCAATCAAAACCATTGAAGTATAGTCAAAATAAGTGGATGGAATAAGCAGGTATTTTCAATTTATGCTGTACTTTGAAGTCTCTTTCACATTGACTTAGCAGGAAACTCAAAAAGAGAAAAAAATTCCTAGACATACGCGGTGTCCTAAATAGGCAAAAAGATACCAAAGTCATTTTATTGGCTTAAAACTTCAAATATTGGTGTTATTTTGACTATTTTTAAGCGTTTTAACGTCATACTTTAGTGACTATAAATTATGAAGTAATACATGTAACGCAATATTTCATAGCTAGATAATGAGACTTTCAAATGTTTGGGTTTACAGCCAGGAAGAAATATGAATACGGATTGCTTAATTTTTTAAATAAATACAGTTCTAAAATCTTCTTTCATCAATTGCTTTACTTGCCGAAATAAATGTAAGTTGTGATATTCTGAGAACACGTTGGCTTTGAATGCTTTATACAATTGTTGAATGGCAGTGAACTGAAACTAAATACAATTTATTGAAATATTTCAATTTTATTAAAGTGGTTACTAAAGGTGCTTTCTTACCACCAAATACCTTTAAGGTCATAATTATCCCTCTTTAGGTTTAATTTACCATAATTCGATTAATAGCTGGGTAATAAGAATGATATCTGCTTTGAAAATAAAAACTATTTCATTTCCGTTTATGATATGCATTGATTAAATTTTGCATTCCACGCTACATAGTAGCAGTAATAGTGTGTCGCTAAGAAAGAATGAGTACTGCAGACCGTTCCCATAAATATCATTAGATGAAACTTGCTAAATGTCCAGAATGAAGGTCCATATCTTAAATGACCCCATTTTCTTTCAATTCTTTGGCTAATAAATTTGGTTATTAACAACTATTATTTTAAGGATCTTTTCATCTGCCAGACACCACTTTCAACCACTTGTTGGCTTCTGTTTCATTGACAATGTAGATTGGAGCATGTTTTTTCTTGAAATTAAAATTTCTCTAGTAAAGTATATGCCAGTATTTCAAATGGAAATTATAATTTAACGCAAATAATTTAAATATTATCTCCTGGGACACACCCACTCTGCCCCATCATATTATGGGGTTAATTTCAAGTTCGATATTTAAACAAATAACGCCATTAGACGAAATTCAGGCGAAATGATTTATGGGGCACTTGTCTGAGGAAGGAAAAAAGGTGGAATGCAGCCGAATTTCATTAGGAGGGTTTGCGATTCAATCTGAATTGAAAAAAAATAACAATATTTATTGGCGCAAGCTATGCTTTTAAGTTGGTGAATAGGGTAAAGTATAAAGAATTAATATCCGCAAATTTTTATTAATTGCAACAAAGTAATGGAACCTCTATAATAATTGTGATTGTTACGCAGTTTCCGAATCGAAACTGGTAGTAGCTAAACGGAAGGTCTATATATTTTATTAATCCTTGCAAATATTCTGACAGAATTGAAGAAACGCAATATATCATTCAAAATAAAATAAAATTATAAACAATGAAATTCATTTGATCAATGGCATATGAAATGAGTAAAATGTGTGAAATTTTATTTATTATGACTTTTGGTGTTATTAAAATCTTGACACACATCTACGTTTCGATTATAATAAAACATTAAAGTAATAAGGTTCTTTAACCAAATCATAGCTTAACGAAAATTGATTTATTTCAGAAAAATAGCATCCAAATTACCACGATAGGTCTTAATTTGTTACTTGTAAATGCACTAAGCTACCCTCATAATTTGTAAAATTAAATTATTGGATAAAATGTTTCGATATTGAAGTAGGGTTGCGAAGTGGTTGATTTTGCTAGAAAAAAAAGATACGGGGAGATTTTCTCATTCGATTATTTCTGCAATTTCAGTTATTACCCTCGGAAGTTGGGCGAACTCAGACGCAAAATGAAAGCATGTAATAAATGTGAAATGCAATAATGTGTGTCATTATTTTGCCTCAAATATGTTTGCTTTCTTATCAATTATTTACGTGAAAGAAATAGTACAAGAATATGTCAACATCTCATAAATAGAATGCAGATAATGCACTGTTGGGAAAAACACATCCACAGGAAAAGATTTCACTCTAAAGACAGGCTGATGGAATAAATAATTCAATTTACTCCTATGTATTCAAAAAACACTAGTAGTTGTACAACAGTCTAAACATTTCATCTTAAACAGGGAAGCCTTGTATTTAAATCAGAATGCATATATTAACTTTTCACATTTATTTCATATGGAAGGATTTAATTCCTCCATAACTTAGTTGTTACACGTTGGCAGGGTAGTTAATGGATAAGAAACAACGTCATCTGTGAGCTTAAACCGACCACATTACCTTCCAAAGTTGCACCGATAGCCAGTGAAATAAATACTCCTCTAATTTTATTTCCCTCGTGTTTGCATTCTGACCACTCAGTTGGAGTTGTTTAAGTTATCAACAAGCAACAATGTGATCTTTCCATAGTATTCTAATGATGATTCATCTGACATGATGAGATTGTGCTAAAAAAAATTGGAGACTTTGATGTTGGTTTTCATGAGGACGTAAGATGTAAAATTTGACAGCAACACATTGGCTACGACATATTGATATATCGCATCACCTGGACGTTATAATGTGCATCTTCGAAACGTAACCCACAGAGGAAAAGGAGCTAGTGACGGAGACGTCTGGACAGTATGAATCACAAAACTTTATAGGAAAAGGTTTATGGACGGCCATATCTACTGGATCAATGGATACATTAGCAAACACGCATAGAGTGAAATTGGGCAAGAGTAGTTATCTCATTAAAATATGCTGAATTTTAAGACAAATCTTCCAACAAATTGAGAAAAACCTATCAAAATTTCGAGACAACGTGCCCCTGAAATGTCCTCGTTTCTTTCTTTTTTAAATTGACAAATTAGTAGAAAAAATAACGAAAAACTTGATCAACTTGATAAGCCAAGTTGGAAGTTTTAGAGTAGACAAAATATATACTAACGCCAGTAAGACATTTAATTGGCAACCTACCAACGATTCAACACATAGTCTCTCATTTTTCATTCACACGACTGCGCAATTTCAATTTAATACGCTCACGTCAGTACAATTAAATTATATCTTTTTTCCCATTTCCTTATTACCTTTCATGTGTCTGCCGAAATGTATAAAATAGTTTAAAAATTGGCTCTCGAATCGTAAAAGTCATTAGAGAATGGACGCCTCGCTTTCACTCCAATTCCAATTATCCTGATTGAATTAGAGCAAAAAGGCTTCCTGTGTCTCCGATCGCACAGTAACAGTAGAGGAAAGCAAATGCGTAAAAAAAGGGCGAGCATTTCATTTCTTAACTGAAATTCCTAGGAAAAGTTCATCATTTTAACTTCAATTTAAGTGAATTGCAAAAGGAAAGCCAAATTCGAATCAATTCTTGTCTCTTTTTTTCTCACATTTTTTTTGCCTTTACAGAGATATGCAACAGCCGAGATTGAAGCAAACGGTGAATGGCATACCCTCCGACTTCTACGAAGGTCAAAAGAGTTAAAAATCGATGTTGATAATGTCACGTATAATTTCGGTATGTAATTGTTTGTTGTTTTTTATTACTTAAATTTTTTTCGGCGACAATTCACCACGGTGCACTTTTTATGAGTTTCACATTTTTACAACCTTCGTAGTAGCACAAGAAGCAAGGCGTTTCATGCCACTTTTATAATCGTGTTTTTTTCTTCGTTTTGCATCTAAATCGGTCATAAATAAATGAAACAATATATATATATATATATATATACATATCTTCAAGTCTGGAGTTAATTTAATCTCATATGAGAGTAAGTAGCAGACACCATTGAAATTTTAAAGCATAATCAGAAATGTGATGTTCAATATGAATACCGTTCTTGCTCTCCCATACCAATTTACCTACGATTGCAAACATATTGGCTTTTTTTGTAAGAATTATCCTTGATTTATGTCCTAGCTATAGGAAACTTAAGCCCACATTTGCTACTTACTGGGGAAAATTTTTCGCTTAGTCATTCGTCGTCGTCAGTGTTTTGATGACCACAGGCATTGACAGATTTACGACTACAGAGGTACGAGCAAGGAAAATGAACAATCACAAGGCGCTGGCAGAAAGTTGATTTTAACTAGCCGGCTTGGTTGAACAAATGCCACTAGGAGTCGAAAGAGCATCAACCTTCTCTAGTCGGAAGAAGTCTGGATTTCGTCAAATTTATGCACTTCTTAAAGTCAGTCTTCTCACTGAGTGGACACAAAAGAAAGTCCAATTTGTAACTGTCATTTTCAGAGACGAGGATTTTACTTACACACACAAGATTTTAACACTTAAATAAGGTTAAAACTACTTTAAAGTGTCCATAGTATAGCATATATATATATATATATATATATATATATATATATGGCTGAGAATGTGTTAGCAGAGCCTTTATAAGAACCTCTTCACTATTAGCTACAATTTGCTAAATAGTACGAAAAGCCCTTGCCAACAAAAAGGTCTGATTCAACAACCGTTCAAATTGCAGGGAAGTAGCCAATAGATATTCATCTATTTATTATATGCTTAAATCTTTACTAGGGGCAACCAAGCAATGATAGGATCTTGAGAGACAGTATGTCAGGAATAAATTAGCCAAACTGTCACTAACCATATATCATGGATAGGTGATTTAAATTTTTGGGCAGTGAAACGCCAACTCATGGAAATTAAGTCACAGTAAGTAGCAAACTCTAACAACCACTCCTCTTTTGAAATTTCCAAGTGCTACCAACCTTCGTGGTACCTAAATTGTTAGCCAAAGGAATTTTATTCTCAACTATTTGTCTACTAGAATCCCTACTTTATTTTCATAGCGATTCTGGGGAGGAACATTAGGCTATGTGAGGAGAAATCGCTCACCCTATTCAAGCATGATGGTGTTAACATAAATTACAAAGTTGGGCTGTCTATTAGAAGTTATAAGTCCCTCGTTTAATGATCTGAATAGGTTTCAAAAGGTTGTTTATTTGCTTCTCTGGCAAATATGATAGAATAGATAGTTTTAAGCGAAAAAAAAATGTGTGATACTAGACAGCATGGTCAGTACTGGTAATTGAGAAGACAAAAAAAATCATTTTTGCTTCCATTAAACCGCTTTTTCTTTGTCTAGACATGATCGAAATAGTTGCTATCAAATTTTTTCTAATTTTTATTTGTCATATAAGTGTGTGTGTGTGTGTTCAGAGTTAGCATATTCATGACCAAGTTGAGAGGGATAATTTTGAAGTTATTTGGATTCCTGCTACCGATCTCAGTCAGTAGGGACGTTTTCTGAAAAACATTACGATCCTTTGTTGCTCAATGACTTACGAGGCTGACGTTTAAAAAAGAAGTACGTTAATAACGAAACATTAGTAAAGAAAATATTGTCTATCAGGTAAGTTCAAAATTTAATAAATTAAGAGATTAGCTATGTCAGTTAGAATGGTATATTTACACTTCCAAATGCCAATGAAAATCATTAATACTAATTAGCCATTCGAATGTAGCCTCAACTGTAAGTCAAGTGGTTTGAGGGAGAAAGTGGACGAATTCTTGCGTCAGTGAAACTCTGTTAATTAGATTCATGTCCTCAAGGCTTATTTACAAACCAAAATGAGCATTGAAGAAATGCAAAGAGTCGCTTGATTAAATTTGTTTGAGTTATCAGACACAGTGAGCATGGCAGTAACAGTCACGTGATTTTTTAAACCACTTCTTGCACTAACGAAGACGCATGCAAATGAGCCTTTAGGTTCCAGTTCTTTTCCATGCACATTGACGTCAGTGACCTTCTAAGACCGTATGGAATGGCTTACGATGGCATTACAACAGTCAAGGCATATGTGGTGGTTAATCTGCTTATGAAGGTAAAAGAGCTAGAAGTCTATTAAAGTGAACTCCAATAAGTGTTGGCTAAACGCCAATAAAGTGTTATTTCACCCGATTGATTAGGTCAAGTCAAATACTTGTCAATATCACTCAAGCGAGCAAATTCGCATGAAGTCACAGGGTGTGACACCAGGGAGAAAAAAGCCCAAAATTGATCTAGACACCTAAAAAGGAATGGTCATATCTTCTTTACCCTGCTCTGTTTTTGAAATTAGCCAACTTCAGGGTATTTATTTAGCACTGGAGGCCTTCATTATGGACAGTGAGGATAGTGTTCATGACTTCTAAAATGTCATTATTCAATGGAAGTATGGTGGAAATGAGGAGGACTGTATTGGAGAAAAACATTTGCTCGTAGCAAATGCCAGACTTTATGATAGTTATCATTAGCCCTTTTGTTGACTTCGGGCTTCACAGAGGGAAGGGTCATCAAATTCACAAAAATTCGAGAAAGAGGGCAGAAGAGTGATTTACAGCTGTAAAAGAGACAGACAAAGAGTTTGAGAGAAAAAGGCAAGGTGAGTACTGTGAAGTGGTTGAATATGACATGCAGTTGGGTCATGACAGTTTGAATTGAGAAATCAACTGCCGGTTTATGGACGTTTTCCGTATGAGTATATATTGCCCGGGGTGTACCACATGGAGGTAAGTCTATCGCGCACTCCTATTTGAGTGAAATATTTGCCTACGGATCGTGGCAGGTCGATTGTAACCAACTTAAATGATGCCAATACCCTATTGGAATTTCAAATAAAACGACACTGTGTGTGATCTGTCTAGGTGCTATTGTGTAAAGATACAATTTTTATCCCGTTTTAAAGTGGGGATTTACCCCGTCCCGCCCCCCCCCTCAACCAGACTCTGTGTACAATATTACTCCTTTCTCATATATTGATTATTGGGGTGTGCGATAGACTTACCTCCACGTGGTGCAC